ATCAACCCAGGTGCCCGAATGACTGCGTGGAGCAGACTCTCTACCCATTCCCCCGCCCCCCGACACATACCAATCACACACACACACCACCACCAGCATCATCACCTAGGAAACACCCCGAACTCTTTCATGAAAAAATCTAAGGTATTTTTCTTTTGAGCAATTACATGGATGGGTCTATTTATTAACTCAGCCTAGTCTACCCTATCTAATACAGTGGACAAAAAGCCCCTTCTAAAAGAGAGGCTGGAGTGGAGAGCAGATTAACGAAAAGACGATTTTAATCAACTAGAGGACATACGTTGAGAGTTTACACAGGGGTGGTGAACCCCTGAACTTGCCTGAACGTGGCAAGAATGGTCAGAGTCAGAGTACATAGTTTGAGGATAGAGCTAAGAGGACTTGCTGATGGTTCATGACATTTAAGAATGTCAGCTAAAATTTTTGAAAATTCTTATAATTCTTCTATATTATTGTGAAACTAGATAACAGAATAGACTTTTCCTGACTCACTTTTGGCTGAGAACAGAATCCACAGAATTCCACAGTGAGTATAAAACAGATCGCCTCTATTGTAGAATTTTGAAAGGAAGTGAAAGAAACTCCATTCCGTGATTCTTGGACTTTACAGATAATGAAGCATAGGAAAAGGGTCAGAGACCAAATTTGATTAGGAAGATATCTTTGGAGAAAATTGTGAGATGCAGCTTCTTCCAGGCCCAAAGTAGTGGAAGGAGAACCTGTCTATTTCATCTCAGTCCTTCTGAGGGGTTTCTGATGGGATCAGTCAGAGCTCTGAAACATTTTCGCTGAAATGGTGCCTGACCTAACTGAGGAAACCAAATCGTGCGTGCCAATGGGGTAGACGCGGCCACGCTGGGATCTATGTACTCTCACAGAGTGTGTTGGTACACATTTCCGATAAACAGATGTGAGCTACACAGAAGGAGAGGCAGCATGGGCTTGTCTTGGGCTCTGTGTTGTTGGCTGACTGGAGGAAAGAGAGAAGCCCTCAGCAGAAAGGGGATAGGGATACAGCACAAGATGCTCATGGAACGCGGCACATTCATGGACTCTTGGGAGATTCCACCAATAGAGATCTCTTCTTGATCCACACAGATGTACATCTCTTCTAGCTAGAGGAATCTCCCAAGAGTTCATGAATGTGCCACATAAGAAAAAACATGTTTTATATAGAGATGACTTCCCCACCCTACCCAAGCCTGGGAGGTCAGAACATGGCTGTCTGCTCAGGCATGGGGCAGATGGAGAGAAGAGGGGAGAACAGACAGACAAAGAGGAAGAGGTCAACCACAGCACCCACCTCCTTCCCCACTGCAGGTCTCCAGCCCAAAGAGGATCCATGCTGGGCAGGGAGAAAATTTTGCATTAAATCAAGTTCAGAGTTTTATTTCTATTTTGGATCACACATCCAAAACACTGAACTAACAGCATGCTTGTGATCTGAATGCACTGTAGGACTCTGTATTTCTAACAACGAGCAGAAGGGTCATGGGATCTGCCTGACTTTTCTTCCTAGAGCAAGGGAAGATTAAGCCACTGAATACAATTTAAAGAGACCACAGGACACTAAAATACAGTAATGTCTGGATCATGTTACGAACCACGCTTGTTCGACACAGTGCTTCCATTCAGGACGGAGGAGGAATGCGGGCATTTCTAAGTGCAGCGAGTCACAACAGAGGACTGCCAGCGGGACTGACACAGCATCTCACAGGAGTTTGGAAAGCCCTGAGCTCAGGCCACCCAACATGCGACTAGGAAATCAACATAATTTTCTTATCAAATGTATTAAGCAACTGCTTCTCTCCTGACTTGGGCGAAATGTGGCCCAGTCACTGCCATTTCTTAAAGGATCATTGCAGCTACATTTATAAATGTTCCAATGAAATATTAAAACACACGAGATTCCTCTTCATTTTGAGCTTGTTATCAAGGGTTATCTACATTATTTACTTAAAAATGTTCTCTGTTTTGAAAAAATCAAATGACGAGTTCGGAAATGTTTCTAGAGTTTTCTTCTTGTCTGCACCCGACGCTCTCATTTTGTCCACGGATATTCTGAAATGGTGATGGGAATTCCATGCACAGAATATGCTGGCGCTTGCTCAGAAAACCTGCTCTACAGATCTTGATTTAATTACAGAAAAGAGCGGGGAGAAAATAAAACTAGAGCTCTATTTCCACTGAATCCATGATGCAGTTCACCTAAGACACTGCAGAGGCCTACAAATTCAGAAGACTTGAAAATAATTTCTTTGATATAATAAAAACAAAATCATTTTTCCTTAACTGAATTTCCTGGCCTTTGTGGCAAGAATCTGATGCCTCACATTATTGTAGCAGTTTTTCTCCCCACAGTTTAATCTAGGACCCATTAACCAACGCTACTTCTATATTCCACGAGATTACATACAAACTCGATTTTATGAATTATGTGAATGCCACTGCTGAGAGGGTCCACTGGTAATATAATTAAGACCATGCAAATGTACACTTCAGATGAATTAAAGGCATAAAAAAGAAATTATAAATTGGAGAAATACATTTTAAGGGCTTTATTTATTCTAGGTCATTCGCGTCAAAGTTGGAAACTGTCAAAGTTTGAAAACAGATAAAAACTGCTAGACGGGATGGGGCGGAGGAAACCATTCTCTGAGCAGAGCCTTGCTGTGGATTCAGTCAGTCCTTTCCTGAATCAAGGTGTCTGAGTAACACAGACATTTTATGCCGGATGTATTGCCAGTGGTACATGAATTATATATATTTGCAGATGATCCTATAGTCAAACTAAACTTAATGCATCATTTTTTTTCCAGTGAGTTCCTGTCCTTGATAAAATAATGGAATAAAAGATTCTACATTGCATTCATAAATCTTAAGGGATAGTTTTGCAATGCTTTAACCAACCTCACAATTATTATAGCAAGATTTGGTAGCATTATTTCATGGCTACTTGGGGAAGCAAGTATTTAAAAGCAAACAAATAAAAATCAGAAATAATAAACATTGGTGATTTGTACAGTTCTTTTCCTTTTTTTTAAATTTGGGGTAGAGGGAGAACAGAATCCGGTTACTCACTGAGACAAGGCTTAGATATCTGAAATAGGAAGGTTGAACACTTCCATCCGTGGACCCTGACTTTGATTTATTTCCATATATTATCCTTTGTATTCTCATCTTCCTTACAGAATTGTAAACCCCTCTGAGGGGAGGGGTGTGGTCACTGGTCTTCGTGGTCACGCCTATGCATCCCTTACACATTTGCTGAGTCCTTATCGTGTGGTCATTGTCCACTAAAAGTCTCTTAAATTAAATAACCAAAATAAAGATTACATTTCCCTGACTTTAAAACCCCCACTTATTTTCACATTTCTAAAATAGGATACATCTTACATTCAACAGCCTCTTGCAGCTGCTATTAGCTAGGCACAGCAGTGGTGAAAATCACGGAGACAATATGTCTCTAGAATTCTGAATGATAAATGTTCTCAATGACGAAAGATGCTGTGTAGAAAACCACAGTCATCAGAGACTGGGATGAAAACTGGTTTAGAAGTTGAGCTGGTTCTAGTGTAAAGTTTTAAGAATAATTTAATAAATTTATTTTTCTTTTATTTTCCTTTTTATGTATGCTAATGGGTGATATATGGTTTAAGAGAAAAGCTAAGTATAAACAAATCTGAAAGACTTCTTTCAATAATATTCTATCTCATAAGAAAACATTGTGGTAGCTTAATTGGCATCAAGTTTTTGATACATAAAATAATGGTACATCCTGTAATTACTTAATGTTGTATGGCTCACAGTTTTGTAGAGATAGTGCACTATTCACAGTGATTTACACTATAATACCTTCCAAGATTTTGAATAGAGTATATTTTTGGCCAAGTAGCATATTCTGATAGTTTGGATGATAACAGATAACTATGGTCACTAAAACCACCACAATCTATGATTACAAAATCATAAATGTTAACCTCGGTATGTTTTGCTTCCATCACAATCCTCCATCATAAGGAATTTTCATTTGTCTGCTAGAAGGGTCCTCTTAGGCATACGGATACTTATTTTAACTTTAGAGGCATCTGTGTCCATCCTCCATCCCCAACCCAGGACTGTGCCAGGTGAAGTGGGACATGAAGAAGCATATGCTCTCCTTGCACAGTAACTTTACATCCTCTGAAATGGAGGGTTAGGTCTCCTCTACACGTGGCCCCAGAGCACCAGCTGGTAGAAGCCACACCAGAACATCACTGCTACTATTGACTTAGAGACCCCTCTTTCACATCAGTTCTGCAAATAAACTTTGTCCTTCAATATCTCTGACTTTTCCATGTGTTTCCCTAATCTCAGTCTGTTAAAACTCTATCCAGCCTATAAAACCTAGTGCAAATGTCATCAGATACTTCTAACAATCTCAGCCAGAAGTTACTATAATTTTTTATTTTTCTGTAGCTTTTGCTTGCCAAACACTGTATCATGTGGCTATTAATTGATATATTTTATTTTCACTATCTGACAGTAGAATCCTTGAGTACAAGGTAACGTTTTATAGATCTCTAAATAACCCGACAATTTAAAGCTCTGATTATAATAGGGATTCAATAAATGTTCATTAAACATTAAACTGATACATTTTTTAAATCCCTAAACTAACAGACAATCTGTACAATGCTTAATGCTCTATGCCACATTTATATTTTAATAATTTTTTTTTACCAAGAACGTATTATAAAAGCTATTCAATGGTATCACTAAGATTATGTTATGAACACTATTCAATGCAAATATAAAGCATTGTTATTAAGATTTAGGAATTTTACGTTCCATTTATAATCAGACATCATTCATCATTTATAAGTATTTACATATATATGCAATATTTGAGGAAATATCTTTATATCGAACATTATTTGCTCTGTGATAGCCTGATTAACCCAGAAATGTATGTTGTAACATTCTCTAGGCAAACTTACCTCTCACAATGATGTTGGTGGACTTTTTTGCAGGGTTGCCCACATTATTATTGGCAATGCAGCTGTAAGTACCAGCATCTTCTGAGGTGATGGCAGGTATGGTCAAAGTTCCCCCATTTAAAATAGTCTTTTCAGGCAGAGTCCCAAAGGAGCTGACCCAGGTGAGAGAGGGTGCAGGCTCTCCTCCTGTCGTAACACACACTAATGTTATGGCCTCTCCAGGATTTACAACTATAGGGTCATCCACCAAGAGTTTAATTGACGGAGATGCTAAAAGACAAACAAAAGGACATGCGCCTATTGAGATACACGACAACTGGAATTCAACAGCGTGCTTCACATTTATTCAAACAATTAAAAGACTGTTTTCCTTTGCCAAAATCATATTGAACGAATCAAATTTAAACCAGATTTAATGGTTACATGTTTTAATGACATGGTAAAAACCTGTAGAACTGTATTAAGAATTTTACACATGGAGAGAGGAAATAAAATTTATGGATTCTTGGATTATGGTTCCAAAATTAGAATGACAAGAGGCATTAAAGTCTTAAAACAAAAATCCCTTTCTCTTCTCATGCTGACAATCGTCATTTGTTTTTGATGTTCCAGATATAAATATTCAGCTGTTTAGTCCTTGTATTTTCACGGGGAAGATGGTCAATTAATTTCTGGATTATTCTAAGGTGAAATGATAATTTTTGCAACTTGAACACAACCAAGTAAGAGATTAAGGCATAGATCTTCTATCAAAGAGTGGGCTGGGTTTTTATCTTGAAAAAGAAGATCGTCTAATTCTAATGCAGCCCCTATACCTCTTCTCTAACCTCTCCGTTCAGCAAGGTCTAGGCAGTGAGCTCTCATAACCACTAGTTCAACACTCAGAAACAAACAGATAAGAGCTCAAACACAGTCACCAAACTATGCCTGCCACCACTCTAATGTTTGGGTTATAATAATCCCCCCATTAAAATAAGTCATTTGCAATCTTTCAGGTTAAAAAATACAAAGATAAATATCCATTCAATAAAAAACGCTGTTAGAGACTTTTCATTAAACACTCAAAATAGAAACTGCACAGAAACTATGTTCACAAACAGCACATTTATCCTACCTACACCGCAGTGCCAGCTGACATAATACATCCCTAAATAACAACAGGGGCAGGCATTATGCCGATGTTTCAGTTCACACATTCAGAAATATTTTATGTCAAAGGTAAAACTGTATTGCATGAAATCAATCCATATTAGAAACACTTAAAGTATTCAGTTGTACTGTGTGATTTTTTTTTTTTTCAGATATTAACTTCAGCTTAGAGTTGGAGAGTGTTTTTTTTTTTTTTTCAGAATAAACAGTAAACTCCTTGTGTGGTTCAACATTGTCTGCCTTGTTAAAAAAAAAAAAGAAGGGTAGAGGAGAGCAGAAAACAATTCCATATTATTATAATGGTTCTGTGGGAAAGGCATAGAATGCCTGGATGACCTCTTTAAACATCACTGCATGCTGGTCCTTCTAACATCATTTTAAGTAATAAGTAACTTTTCAAAGTGTCTCTATAGCCCTTGTGAGGTTTTAACTTTAAATTACAAAGATATATGATCAAAAACCTGTTGGGAAATGCACAAAGTGAAAATAATATGCAAAAGGTACTGCAGTTTGGAAGAAAAGAAAGTATCTCAAAGAATTATTTAATGTTGTTAAACTGATGGAAGATATTACTAATTAAATATTTTGAAAATAGATATTACACTTAATTATTGATATATCATTGTGAAAAAGTAAAATAAATCCCTACAGCCCAATTTGAGGTAAATAGTATAATCTTATAAAGGTATTAGTTAACATATAATTCTAGAGATTCCAACATTTATATCATATTAACAAAGCTCATTTATTTTATAACATATTTTAGTAAAATTAAAAGTTCTAAGGCCTACAGGCCATTAACAGTATATGTTTGGACTATGGAAACACACAATGGTGACATTAAGTCAAGAAACATGTGCCCTTGAAATTGACTTGCATAAGGATGTGTTGTTTTTCTACTAGATAGACAATATTTAAAGCAAAAGGTCAAGAGAATTTTAAAGCTCATAAAATAATACATATATAACAAGAAGACTGCTGTTTTACCTACAATGCATTGCAGAACTATTCATAATCTTATTTAAAAATCCTCCCTTTTCCAAATCTGAATTGAAAACAGAATGTTGTCCAACTGGGTGTTATTGAAACTGATTTTCTGTTATCCCTAATATTAAAAACAGCCCAAGGAGACCACAAAAATGACTAATCATTTCAAGACGTTAAGAATATTCATATATATTTTAGTATCAAAAATTTCTAGCTTTAAATGTTGAAAAGATAAAAGTGATATCATTGTCATTTTTGTTCTCATGGCTTACTTTTAATTCTATAAATATCAGCTTTTTTGAACTATGAGGCTTTGCTTAAGAACCACAGGCACATTAAGATTCATCAAGTTTAAGTGTAAATCATGCTGTAGAGAAAAATATTAAAGTAGGAAAAACATAAAAACATAAAAAAATTGTCTACTATTAAAATTATTTTTAAGAGGAGATTTCATATTGTATGGACCCTTTGCTAATTTGGGGGTCTATAATATGAGTGAGGCAAACATCCTGGGTAGTTACTCCCTTCTTCCCAGCTTCCACAGCCCCCACAGTTCCCTTCATATCACCCTGTACAGATGAGCCAGGCCACCACTGCTGTTCTTCAGCCAGAAGTAAAGTGGTGTGACTGCATTCTCTGACAATGGTGTGTGGCTGAGTGGTCAGAGCACAAATTCTGGAGAAAGACAGCTGGGTTCCAATTTTGACTCTGCTGTTATTTAATAACCATGTGAACTTCAGCAAGTTCTCTCACTCCTGAGGGCCTCAGTTCTCTATTGCTGAAATGGAGGAAAACAATTAACTACCTTGTAGCGCTGAGATGATTTACTATGTGTCAAGTGCTTACAATTGTGCCTGGTACAAAATAGGCACTTGAAAAAGTATTTCTTTTGTCACTATTTTTATTACCACCCTCATAGCCTGGTCCAGTGTGTGCCACATAGTGGTCCTTAATCAATATTAGTAAAGCAAAGCAGTAAGTGGGCAAACGAATACACGGGTGGCTAGTCTAAAAACTGTAGTCACTATAAAATGCGATTGTTCCATTTCACTCTGATGCAGATGGCAGAGACATTTTAAGACCATTTTGACGTTTGGAGGTCTAGTGCCATAACACATAAAACATATTTCAAGACACACAGACATTTTGAAGAAACATAATTAAACATTTATTTTCTTCTACGATATTTCTTATTTGTAAGTTGAAACTATTATTTTTCAAGATTCAGCATTTCCATAAGGCCTTTAAAAGCTCACGGGCAGGGCCAGCTCCAGTGGCCTAGTGGTTAAGTTCAGTGTGCTCTGCTTTGGCGTCCTGGGTTCAGTTCCTGGGCACAGACCTACACGACTCGTCTGTCAGTAGCCATGCTCTGGTGGCAGCTCACATACAAAAAGAGGAAGATTAGCAGCAGATGTTAGCTCAGGGTGAATCTTCCTCAGCAAAAAAAAAAAAACAAAACAAAAACAAAAACAAAACCTCACAGGCAAATGGTATTATATTTATTTCATCCCCCGCCCTGCAAGTGAATGCTATTTTTTCACAGTGTCCTTAAACTATCCAATCACCCTGAGTCCATGCAATATAAGCTTCCTCTGCTGCATTTACATAGGTTCGTAGGAGGGGAAGAAAGATGAAGTTCATTTCACCAAATCATGTGCATAGCTGAGCATTCTGTAAATGTCTATTGTATGTGTTGATCGAATTACCCCATCGCTGTATGAATATAAATATGTAAGGCTATGGAGGTGATCAGTTCCATTATTACCATGAGAAAAGTGCATTGTTCTAAAACATACTGTGAGATCTAGACATCCATTCCTTCTTCAGAGCCACATGTGAGAGACAGATTACTATTTTAAGCTCATTTTTAAGTAATAAGGAAATTACACATGAAAGTGGAAAGTGGACAAGAGAAACACGGAATGGACAGTATGTAATTTATATTTGGGATGCTCATCAAACCAAAGTAAAAGGTAGAAAAATGTGAAATACATGAAGTAAACAAAGGAAAACTTTCAAATTAAGTGAAGCAGTTATATCTAAAAAATCATAGGGCCGGCCCCGTGGCTTAGTGGTTAAGTGCGTGCGCTCTGCTACTGGAGGCCTGGTTCGGATCCCGGGCGCGCACTGACGCACCGCTTCTCCGGCCATGCTGAGGCCACGTCCCACATACAGCAACTAGAAGGATGTGCAACTATGACATACAACTATCTACTGGGGCTTTGGGGGAGAAAAAGGAGGAGGATTGGCAATAGATGTTAGCTCAGAGCCGGTCTTCCTCAGCAAAAAGAGGAGGATTAGCATGGATGTTAGCTCAGGGCTGATCTTCCTCACACACACACACAAAAATCATAGATTATTTTAAACATGTTTAATAGTTATTGCTTAATTGCTCAAATTACATAAAAATAATTTCAACTAAGTCTGATTTTAACATAGCACACACATAGACACGCACGCCAACAGCTATAAACATTCTTTGTGTACGTGGGGCTTATAAATAACTGTGGGGCCAGGCAGACTTTCAGACTTATAATCTTGTCAGCACTCAGTGATGGAAGGCATGGTCACCACAGCAGTCGTCACAGAGACTTGAGTCTCTGCAAGATCTGAATGCCAACACTCTAGCATGCTCTATAGATAGATAGATAGACACAGAAAGAGATAGATCAATCTATAAATTATTGATCTTGGGAGAGATGTGATGAAGTAGGATGAAAAAAGAGAGAGAGAGAGAAAAAAAAGGGAAGGAAAAGGAAAGGAAAAAAATGAGAGGAGAGGCCACACAGTCTGTGGTTTCTATTTTCCAAAGTCCTAAAACCTTAACACAACTTCAATAACTGCAATACGGAAAGCATATTTTAGGAAATATCTCTAAGAAAGGGAATTCTTCCCATGTTCTCTCCTTCAGTCATCATGCCCCATGTCCGTCTGTCTGTCGTCCCCCCTGCTCCCAAACAGAAAAAAAAGTTTCCTTGGGCTGAGCAACAGAGACTTCAGTGGGCCCAAGACAGAGAGAGGACTGGCCTCTTGAATCCCACTAAATCTCAGACGTCTGGATATTCAGAGCAGTGGGGGATCTGTGTGTCTCTTCCTGGTTTTAGGTCAGAGTGTGACTGGCCAGACAGACAAAA